ACTGGGGAGGGTTGTCTACGATTCTTGTGCTAATCTCGTCTGCAAACATCCTCACAGATACTTCAGAAATGATGTCTACTGTGGATTTCCTGTGGTTCAGTCAAGTTGACAGGTATGACACATACAATCAAATCCTGCTGTGTGCTGGTGGCTCACGTCTGTAATCCTAGCTACTCAAGAGGCTGAGATCAGGAAGGTCCTGGTTCAAAGCCAGTCGGGGCAAATAGTTTGCAAGGCCCTACCTCGAAAAAACCCATCACAAAAAGGTTCGGTGGAGTGGCTCAAGGTGTAGGTCCTGACTTCAAACTCCAGTACCACAAATGACAACAACAACAACAACAAAAAAAACCCCAATACTCACTTGGACTCTTCCCTAGTTGAACTTTCAGATAAGTTCACAGCCCCTGCTGGTACCCCAATTGTGGCCCGTGGGATATTCTGAAACAGAGGACCCAGTGAAGCCACTGGGTTTTCTGACTCACAGTTGGTCATAAAAAAATGTATGTTTGTTTAAGAAACTAAGACAGTAGCAGTATAGGTAACGAATACCAACTTACCTTTTGCAGCACTGGAGTTTGAACTCAGGGCCTATACCTCTGTTTATTTATTTATTTATTTATTTTTGAGGCACTGGAGTTTGAACTCAGGGCCTACACCTTTGCTTATTTATTTATTTTGCAATAGGGTCTCTCAAACTATTTCCCCAGGCTAGCTTCGAACTACCATCCTCCTGATCTCTGCTTCCTGAGTAGCTAGGATGATAGGCGTGAGCCACCGGCGCCTGGCTCCCAACTGAATTTCTTATCCCTGACAATCACCTATCCATCTATCCAGTCCTCCAACTGTTCATTCAATCATCTAATTAGCCATAGAAGCCATATGGCTATCCATGGCGTAATGATCAAGGGTTTCCCTTACACCAATTTCACACCGGGGGTGGCTGACTGCAGAAGTGTCTAGGATATAAGCTTCGTGTAAAGTGAGGTTCCTCACTAGATTTGGAGTTCTTGAGGGTATAAGCTCTTGCACTTTCTCTCTCTCTCCTTTCTTTTTTATCCGGAGGCAGGGTCTTACTGTACAGTCCATGCTGGCCTCCAGCTCATGATCCTCCTACTTCAGCCTGCAAAGTGCTGTGATTAAAACAGGAACAACCATGCATGGCGTTTTCCTTTCTAATTTATTTTTGGTGGTACTGGGGTTTGAATTCAGGGCTTCTTGTTTGCTAGGCCGGTGCTCTGCTACTCTGCAGCTCTTTTTGTGTTGGGTATTTTTGAGATAGGGTCTTGAGAACTATTTGCCCAGGTTGGCATCCATTTCGATCTTCTTGATCTCTGCCTCCCAAGGAGCTAGGATTACAGTGGGAGCCACGAATGTTTTCCTTTCTAACCTCATCTCATCACCTGTTCATCTTCTTGATCATTCCATTTTTTTTTTTTTTTGGCAGTGCTAGGGCTTGAACTCAGGGCCTACACCTTGAGCCACTCCACCAGCCCTATGTTTGTGAAGGGTTTTTTGAGATAGGGTCTTGCAAACTGTTTGCCCAGGGGTGGCTTCAAACTGAGATCCTCCTGATCTCTGCCTCCTGAGTAGCTAGGATTACAGGAGTGAGCCACCTGAGCCCAGCTTGGTCTTTCCTTTTCAATCACACTAGTTTTCTTCTGGAGCAAGCCAAGCCCTCTTTTGTCTTGGATCTTTGAGCAATTGCTGTTCTGTTTTGATCCAAATGTTCTTCCAGTAATGTCAATAGCTGGCTCTTTCTTTTCTTTTGAATCTTAGATAAGATCTCCTGTTCTCAAAGCCTCCTTTTCTACCAACTTATCTAAGGGAGACACCTTTCTGCCCTTCCCAGCTATCACTTCACCCTGTTTATTTCTCTTATGGAATTGTCCACAATCTGTTACCATTTTATTTATGGTTTGCTTATTTTCTCACTCTCCAACTAAAAAAACAAAAACAAAACAAACAAACAAAAAATAAGCCCCAGCCAGCACTGGTGGCTCATACCTGTAGTCCTAGCTTCTTGGAAGGTTGAGATCTAGAGGATCTTGGTTCAACCGCAGCTGGGGAAATAGTTTGTAAGACCCCATCTCCAAAATAACCAGAGCAAAATGGACTGGAGGTGTGCCTCAAGCGGAAGAGCCTCTGCTTTGCAAGGGCGAAGCCTTTAGTTTAAATTCCAGTCCCACCAAAAAAATAAACAAACAAAAACAAGTCCCCAGGAGGCAATTACTAAATCTTTTGTATTCTTTTTTTTTGTGGTGCTGGAATTTGAACTCAGGGCCTTCACCTTGAGCTACTCCACCAGCTTATTTTGTGATTTTTTTTTTTTTTTCGTGGTAGGGTCTCATGAACTATTTACCCAGGCTGGCTTCGAACTGTGATCTTTCTGCTATCTGCCTCCTGAGTAGCTAGGATTACAGGTGTGAGCCACCATTGCCTGGCTCGAATTCTTTATGGCATTCCTTTTGCCTGTCTTGCCTGGTTACTGATGCATAGTAGGCCTGCCATGCTTATTTGTTGAATGACTGGATGAATAAATGGATGAAAGATTCATGACCAGCTCTTTCCAGTGTTAGAAGGCTGTAAGAATAGTGGAGAACAGACCTTGAAAGATAAGGTTAGAGCAGAGAGAGTGCCTTGGGAGCCAAGCAGAAGATGGTACGGTTGATGTGAACATAGGAGGTCTGGAGCGACTCTTGAGTTGCTGTGCCACTACACAGATGAAATTTAAGCTCCTCAGGGTCGTGTCTTGCAATGAATTCCTGCAAATGACAATCAGGACCCAAGCTAATTTTTCTCCCTGGGGGAGAGTAGATAATGCGGAATTCAGGATCTCAGGGGCTTGAAGATGCTATGTTATGTTTAATTAAGTGATCACGGTGAACGATGATGAAAACCCTGTAGGGCAGGATTTGAACCTTCTTAGGGCAAGCATCAGGCATGTAGCCTGCAAGAGATAATTGTTTGTTTTTCAGTGCTGGGAATCAAACCAGGGCCTCACATGCTAGGCAAGCATGAATTCTTTAACCTGGTGGAGTCTCAGTTTATTCATTTGTAAAAGAGAGAGAAGACACAGTTCACAGGACTTCAAATGAGTTCTTATGAGGAAAATCTCCAACACGGAGTGAACACTAAGTACATTCCTTTCCTTCTGTTATTTTGAAGTGAGATTCTGAAATGTCCCTGACTGGCATTTCCTACTGGACTTTTCCCATGAGCCAATATTTGCTTATTGTCATTTTCATGCAAAACTGCAATTCCAATTATGTAATTTACTAGTCGAGTGACCTTCACAGCCTCTTGGCCTTCAATTTTGAAATAAAATGGGCATAATAACACCTGTCTTACTGTAAGACTTTTTTTTTTTTTTTTTGGTAGAGGTAGGAAGATTTTTTTTTTATTTATATATGCGTACAATGTTTGGGTCGTTTCTCCCCCCTTCTCCCTTACTGTAAGGCTTCAATGAGATGACTTCCTATAGTGCTTGGTACATGGTACTCAAACAATGTTAGGTGGAATTCTTCAGCATTTCATTTTTAACATTGGCAAGTTCAGCCTGGTGCCGGTGGCTCGCCCCATAATCCTAGCTACTCAGGAGGCAGAGATCAGGAGGATCACAGTTCCAAGCCAGCCCGGGAAAATAGTTTGAGAGACCCTGTCTTGAAAAACCCTTCCCAAAAATATGGCTGGTGGAGTGGCTCAAGGTGAAGGCCCTGAGTTCAAGCCCCAGTACCGCAGAAAAGAAAGAAAGAAAGAAAGAAAACAACAAAAAATTTTGGCAATTCATCTTCCCTCCTTCCTGCAGGCATTCTCATCATCTCGTCCAAAGAAAAGGTCTGACTGGGGCTTGGAGGTGTGGCTCTAGTGGTAGAGCTTACTCAAGGTCCTGAGTTCAAACCTCAGTATCGCCAAGAAAAAAACAAAACCAAAACAGAGATGCAAACTGAGACATGGGTTCAGTAGATTCTCCCAGACATTACAAACTCGGAGACTTAAAAAAAACAAAGAAGGGGCATCAGGTTACTGAAACTGTCTTTGTACCCGAACACAGAAGAGGGCAGAAAAGAAAAAGAACGAGGTGTGTACCCTTTCCATTGAATTCGGATAAAATAAGCAATCTCAGGACTGCGCTCGTTCAACCTAATGTGCAAGGTGTCTCTCCACTCCCATTAGATGTTTCCTTCTCTGAACTCGGTAGGTTCCTAGAAAGTGGAGATTTCTCCTTTGTTCCTAAAAAGTGAAGAGAAGTCAAGGAAAACACTCCCAGCGCGAATGCCGGAGTGGCTTCCATGAGGGCATGGGTAGTGTCTTGCCCATCATTCTATCCCCAGCACCTAACTGACTAGCAAGTCCAGGCGCTTAAAAAGCGTTTGAGAATTATTTTCGAACTTTAGTTGTCTTTTCCAAAGGAGCCTGTCGTGCCCACATTCGGCCGCCAAGCAGGTCCGCGCCTAGAAATAACATTTATTCTAAGGATCTCTGCGCATGGATTCTTGGGAAGTGGTTCCCCTCCAGCATTCTCCTGTTACTCCTCCCTTCCGTCCTCTTTGAAAGAACTGATACCACACGTGATTCTTTCCTTTCTCCCACCTCCAAAGACAAGGCTGATAATGGGCAGAGGCGTCAGCCAACCATAAAACTGTATTTCCCCTTCCAGCCAATAGAAAGAGGCAATAAGTACAGAGTTTGGCTTTTGTGACTTTCTCCGCCCCATTTTAGCCCACCCCCCCACTCCTCCTCTCAGATTCGGCATTTGACAACTCACTTGGCCAATGAGAAGTTCCTACTCTGCATGGGAGGGATGGACGACCACATGACTGACTTTGCCGGCTGACCAATAGAATAGCAGAAGTGCGGGAGGGGTGTACAACGGAGCCAATGGCGCGGTGCCAATAACGAGCATCAGGGAAAGGGCGGGACGAAACTGTTAGCGGGAGGAGGGAGGGGAAGGCCTAGGGAACCAAGCAGTGCTGCTGCTACCGCCGCTGCCGCCGCCGCCGCCACCGCCGCCGTCGCCGCCGCCGCCGCCGCCGCCGCTGCTGCAGCCGGAGTTGGAGGAGGGAGAAGCCAGGAAGAAAATGGCGGCCGTGGCTGCAGAGGCGGCGGCGACTGCAGCGTCCCCCGGGGAGGGGGGCGCCGGCGAGGCTGAGCCGGAGATGGAGCCCATTCCCGGCAGTGAGGCCGGCACTGACCCCCTCCCGGTCACGGCCACTGAAGCGTCGGTGCCAGCCGGCGAGGCCGACGGGCAGCCGTCCGCTCCTCAGGCCGACGAGCAGCCGCTCCCGCCGCCACCGCCGCCGCCAGGGGAGCTCGCCCGCAGCCCGGAGGCGGCGGGGCCGGAGCTGGAGGCTGAGGACAAGCTGCCGGTTGGGGTGGCGGAGCCGGCGGTCGCCGCGCCCCAGCCAGGGCCGGACCTTCCCGCTTCCCCAGCACCGCTGCCCGAGCAGCCGCCGGCTCCCGAGGAGCGCGAGGACACGCCGCTGCCCCCGGCCGCAGCCCCGGCGCTCGTGCTGCCGGCGGGCGGGGACTCGGCGGTGTCGCAACTGATCCCGGGTTCGGAGGTGCGGGTCACGCTGGACCACATCATTGAGGACGCGCTCGTCGTGTCGTTCCGCCTCGGGGAGAAGCTCTTCTCCGGGGTCCTCATGGATCTGTCCAAAAGGTACGGCCCGCCCCAGCCGGGGTCCCGGGGGAGAGCGAGCCTCGGCGGCCCCTGCGCGCCTCGCACCGCCCTCAGGTCCTGCGCGGCGGGCGCGTGGCGCGCGCGGCCGGGAGAGGGCGGTCCCTGCCCCGGGTGGGCGCCCGCGGGGGGCAGGTGTGTCACTTGGGGGGCTCGGGTGCAGATGGGCTCGCGGATGTCGCCTCCTATCCCCTGGCCTCCTGCGACCTGGGGAGGGTGGGTTCATTGCAAAATGCAGAGGGGTTTTTGCAGAGAATGGGGTGCAGGGCGGCGGGGGCGGGGGGGTGGCAGATGCGTGTGCGGCACTTGTCTATTTGTCCTCAAATTAACCTTTAAGTTTAGCGGGGTTGGAGAAGGGGTGTGTGTGTGTGTGTGTGTGTGCGCTTTGGAGTTCCCAGAAGGTTACTTGTCACCTCTTAAAAAGAGCATTTAGTAAGATGAACCCTGCTCTAACTCATTGTTACTGTTGCAAGTAAATTCCCAAGGTAACTTCAGTAAGGAAGCCGTTTTGCTCGTTTTAATGATAGCTCGGAGTAGCTGGAGAAGAGATCGGATGTTTTTAAACTTGTAATGTCTAGGTGGTGTGGCATAAAAGTGTTCGAGTGACTTTTTTTTTTTCCTTCCCCTCAGTGCTGGGGTTTGAACATCAAATGACGTCTAATACTGTAGATAAGAGTTTGAATTTATGTTTTGATTAAAAGGATGAGTTTGCCTATATATCGGTCTTAACCAATGCATTTTCATCTTTTGCTTTAAAATGTGTATGAGCGCTGCTTTAAAGAGGTAGAAAAGCATCCGTTTTCAGCGTAGAGTAAGTTAACCTTTTTATTCTTTTCTTTTGCAGATAGGAAGTGCAGAGGCTCCCATTCCTGGCTCCATTCTGTTTCCTGCTACAGCACACACTCTGATGGTGTCCCACCTGTATGAAAGTGGCTTATTAGTATGTTTTACTGCTAGTTTTCCTTGCCCTCCCATCAAGACACAGGAATCCTTCTTTTCCATTTGGAAAAACCTTGGGATAAAAAAACCACTTAAAATTCACATTGAAGTATGGTGCTTGGGGAAAAGAAGAGAACCTTTACAGTTGCTGTGTATGCTGTCTAATGTTAAGGTTTTTAAAAGTAACTTGGGGTTGGTACTTTTGCAGTTCTGTTTTCATAGTGAGAAAGCAGAATAAGACAAGTGTGCTTTGTAATGTATTTGATAACCAGGGAGACACTGTAGTGTGTATGCTGTTGAATCAAACAGAACAGGAGGCCAGTGATTGTGTGAGAATCTGAATTTCAAATCTGCAAAAGAAAGGTGCAAAGAGGTAAGTAGTTTCTGGAAATTGAGTGGATAGTGCTTTCCTGATTTGAGGTGCTCATTCTGTCAGTGTTTCATTGAAATTTTTTTTTTTTTGTAGAGAATTGTGCTTTTTGAGTTTGGTCTGTTTTGCTAGCAGTGCTTCTTATGGGCAGTGATTTCTTTTGTTGGAGGAGGTATTTTCTTTTTTAAAGAGATGAGATCTCTTTATGCTGCCCAGGTTGAGCTCCAGCCATCCTTAGCCTCTCTCCTGCCTCAGCCTCCTGAGTAGCTGGGACTGCAGAGAGGCAGCATCTATCTCAGCTGTACCTTCAGCCCCAGGAGATACTTCTAGAGTGCACAAGGCTGTGACTGCACTGTATTCATCAGGTGCTTTAAAAATAATGTGTCCCCTCTTTGAATTGGCCACTGACTTACTCCTCTAAGTAGAAATAACAAGGCCTTCTACTGAATGCATGTTTTGTGCTAGACATTGTCCCACATGTTTTAGTCTTTAACTCTGGTGGTAGTTTTCATTCATACAGGAGGAAATTGAGGTTCATTTAACTTGGCTAGTAGCTTGTAAGTGGCAAGATAAGGATTCAAACTTAGGTTGATTGGCTTCTCTGCATTTTCTATTCTCATATTAAGTTAGTTGGGCTAGCGCGTTTTCTTTTGGGCAGAAAGTAAAGAGTTTTACATTTCTCATATTTAGTGCTTCTCTCCATTTCAGTGGCTGTCTTGGGTCTTGGAGTCAAGCAGATTTCTTAGTTAATAGCCACACTGCTCTGAAGATTCCTTATTGCCTTAGCTTCCATACTGGAAGACAAACCATAGTAAGCTCTGAAGCTCTGGCTCCTCCCTGTTCAGTGAAATAATTGGGAAGGAAAAACATTAGGGACACTGAGTTGATGTACGTGTGCCTTTCTTTAGTCTTCAGAAGGGCTAGTTATTGATTTGATTTACTCATTTTTTTTTTGGTGCTGGTGATGGAACCCAGGGTCTCAGCATGTTTAACATGTCCTCTCTGCTGAGTTACACCTCCAGCCCCGCTCTAGTCTTTCTGAGGCTAATTTGTTGACTTTTGCTAGTTCAAGTAAGTACACACAAGCAAACAAACTTTATGCCTCAGTTTATTCACAGTCATGTGCTGCATAAAGACCTTTCAGAAAGGATACACCACATTTTCAGACCACTATTTTATTTATTTATTTATTTATTTTGACAACTCTGGGGTTTAAACTCAGGGTATCACACTTCCTAGGCAGGTGCTTTTACCACTTGAGCCACTCCACCAGCCTTTTTTTGTGTTGAGTATTTTTGAGATAGGATCTGTTTGCCTGGAGCTGACTTTAAACCATGATCCTCCTGATCTTTGCCTTCTGACTAGCTAGGATTACAGGTGCAAGCCACCAGTGCCTGATCTTGAACCATATTTTTGATGGCAGTCTCTTGAGATTATGTCACCTAGTGAAATCATAGGTGCCTTAGTTTGTTCAGATATATACTGTAATGTTCTCAAAAGTGACACGTTTTGGAATGTGTCTATTGGTAAGCAACACATGACTATATATGTATAGTGAGTAGAGTGACAAAGTGGCTTGTGACATCCTGGTTTGATTGTTACTTTCTCCATTCTTGTAGGAATCTTGCTTTGGCAGTAAGTGACATGGTCACCTTAGAAGGAGGGCATTTGAGCATGCAGTTAAAAGCAGATTTTGTTTAGCACAGCGTTCATTTGAACCTGGATGCCTTTAAGTGAACCATGCAGTCTCTAGTTTATTCCAGGTCCTCACTGCTGTTTTGTACCCAGCCCACTGCTGAGCTCATTAGCAATGTCTAATGACAGTAGTCTGATACTAACAGATGAGACTAAGCAATTAGCTATAAATTCAGTTGGTATTTTTATTTACTTATTTATTTTTGATGCGACTGGGGTTTGAACTCAGGGCTTCATGCTTGCAAAGTAGGTGCTCTACTGCTTGAGCCACACCTCCAGTCCATTTTGCTGTGGTTATTTTGGAGATGGAATCTCATGCACTGTTTGCCTGGGCTGGCCTTGAACCTTACTCCTCCCAATCTTAGCCTGCCGAGTAGCTAGGATTATAGGCATGAGCCACCAGTGCCCAGCTCATGTTTTTTTTTATTTTTATTTTTATTTATTTATTTTTTTATTGTTTTATTATTCATATGTGAATACAAGGCTTGGGTAATTTCTCCCCCCTGCCCCCACCCCCTCACTTATCACCCGCTCCGCCCCCTCCCTCATCCCCCCATTATTAATGGGAAATGTATCTACATGTATGCATCACCCAACTTTAACATTTATCTCAGTTTAGCCAAATGTGTTAAATCACCTAACAGCCTCCACTGGCTTATTTTGAAGTAATTCCAAGCATATGCATAAATATTTCAGTATAGATTTTTAAAGATAGACCTAAAAAACCATAACCACACTACCATTATCACACCTTAAATAATAGCAACAATTCCTTTTTGATTTTTTTGGGCAACACTGGGGTTTGAACTCAGGGCCTCATGCTTGCTAGGCAGGTGCTCTACCACTTGAGTCATTCCAACAGTGTCCACTAGCCCTTTTTTATGTTGGATATTTTCAAGATAGGGTCTCACAAACTACTTGCCTGCTGTCTTTGAACCTTGATCCTCCTAATCTCTGCCTCCTGAGTTATTAGGATTACAGGCGTGAGCCACTACCTCTGGGTGCAACAATTCCTTCATAGCATCAAACTTCCTGTCAGTGTTTAAATGTTAGACTGGCTCAAAATTGGTATCTCCAGTGTTTCTTCAGTGTTTAAATGTTAGACTGGCTCAAAATTGGTATCTCCAGTGTTTCTTTTTTTTCTTTTTTTTGTGGTACTGGGGATTGCACTGAGGGACACTGGCTTGCTACACAAATACTAACACTTGAGTCATGCCCCCAGTTCTCAAAGTTAACATCTCAAGACTGTCAAGTTTTGTTCAAATTAAGAGTCCAAGTAAAGTTTATAACCACAAGGGGTTAATTTTCTTAGTTGTCTTCATCTGTACTCCTATCATTACTTTTATTCCTGTGCAATTTATTTGTTAAGTGGTGGACTTTGTTTCATTGAATTTTCTCCATTCTGGGTTTTTTTTTTTCTCTGATTGCTATTTATGTTTTACAAGAGTTCAGCCTCAACAGGACACTGAAGGAAGGGGAAGTGCTCTTAGTCCTCTCAAGGCCTCTTTTGGTTCCCTTGATCATGGATCTCTTATCTGCCTGCAAACTTAGACCTAACCCTCAATAATACCTCTTGAACTTTAGTAAGTCTGGGCATAATTTTTTTTGGTACCGGGATTGAATTTGAGCCTCAGGCTTGCTAGGCAGGTGCTCTACCAACTTGAGCAATGCCCCACCCTGACCCAGGCATAAAAATACTGAACCAGTCAAAATTGTCTAGGAGGGGCAGAAACTTCTGGAAAGGAAATTTCTCAACTCATACCTGAAGGGACATTATTTTGTGATCAACAGTTTCTTTCTACACAGAGGGATTAATTCATCCATTATTTTCATCTTAAAAATAGTTATAAAGCTACTTTGAAACCCTGAAAGTTCTTTCATAATCCATTATTTGAGCTGATCTGAATTATGGATGAAGGAATTATGAAGAAGACATTTGTGTTTAAATGCTTTGTGTTTTTTCTTTTGGGTCATGCAT